TCAGCTGTTAAAAGTGATCTGGCAGAAGTATTTTGAATCTCTGAAAAAGAGGCTCGTCTGAGGCCCATTTGTGAGTTTATAGCAGTACAGGTAGTCCTCGACTTATGACCACAATTGAGCCCAACATTTATATTGCCAAGTGAGGAATTTGTTAAGTGAGTTTTGCCCCATTTTGTGATGTTTCTTGCCACATTTGTTAAAGTGAATCACTGCAGTTGTTAAGTTAGTAACATGGCTGTTAAGTAAATCTGGTTTTCCCATTGACTTTGCTTGTCAGAATATTGCAAAAGGTAAACACGTGACTCCAGACACTGCAACCATCATAAATGTGGGTCAGTTGTCAAGCATCCGAATGTAAATCATGTGACCATGGGAGAATGCTGCAACAGGCATAAGTGTGAAAAATGGTCATAAGTCACTTTTTAAGGTGCCATTGTAATTTCAAACAATCACTAAGCGAACTGTTGTAAGACGAGAATTATTTATAGTCTAAGATTTATTTATTATATTTTTATTCTGCCTTTATTACTTTATAAGTAACACAAGGCAGCAAAACATACCTAATACTCCTTTCCCCTATCTATTTTTACCACAACAACCCTGTGAGGCAGGTTAGGCTGAGAGATCATGATTGGCCCAAAGTCACCCAGCAAGCTTTCATAGCTAAGGCAGGACTTGAACTCATGGTTTCCTGCTTTCTAGCCTGGTGCCTTAAACACTACACCAGACCTAGATTTCCTGCTTCACAACCCTGTCTTATGTAACCCAATTTTACGCAGATTTCTGAGAAATAAGTTCGCTTGAATCGTGATCTGAGGCTGGGTATGCAGTGTGCCATTTTCATGCCTTCACCACAGTGATTTTCTGATTGTACTTCTAGATTCTGTTTTGTACATAACAGCCATCTTTCCCCAGTCTGAATTATTTCAAGATGTGTACATTTCAGTTCCCATAATCCCCCAGCCAACTTCGCCATTGCTGAACAAAAGTGCACAAATAAGGGGTGGCGTACCTGTATGATATAGAAAGTGAAAAATGGAAAATGCTTAAGCACATTTATTTATTTATTTATTTTTAATTCTAGAAAAAAACATACATTTACAACAGACAAATATATATATATATATATATGTATGTATATGTATATATATATGTATGTATATATATACACACACACACACACACATATATACACACACATATGTGTTTATGTATATGTATATACATGTAAGTACCCGCGAAAACTTAAGAAAACAAATATACACACACACACACACGCATATACATACATACACACACACACACACACACACACACATATACATTTTACAGCGTATATTGAGCAATTTAAGCACATTTAATGAGGGAACAGAAATGTAATCTCTGTTTGCAGTTTTTGCGGTGCAAATGATCAGGAAAACTGCTTTCCATTGTGAAGAATTTTTCCCCACAGATAGCTCTTCTGTTTTGTGAAAGATGTAAAGTTTGTTTAACTGTGTGATTGAAAGTACTGTATGTCTCTAGTATATATTTGACTCAAATGCCATTTTCTCCCCTCTACAAGTTCAAATCAGGTCATTAGTAGAATTAAAAAACGAAAGCCAGAGACCCTAGCTGTTGTCCATTCTTATCAAACTATGTTACTGTGCACACCAGTTTCTAACCAGAAGTTCTTCATAAAATGACAGAACAATACAGGAAGTCAAATAGCTTGGCTGCCTGAAGAAATCTTGTGATTCTGGAAGACTTAATGGAACTTCTAAGAGAAAAGCCACATTCTGATAAAGTCCCAGCTCATTGCTGATTCTGCCAACTCAGAGGCTGATACAAAGAAAGGAGTAATATCAGAAGATCTTCCCAGTCTAGTAAAAGCCTTACTGAAACAGCAGAATGGAATAAGAGTGCATAAAATGGCCTACTTCAAACAAAACATCTTCAGTAATGAAAAATTACTGTGGTTTGAAAATGCCACTGTATTTTGTTAACTTGGAGCATTGCTTTGAAGCTTCTTGTTTACTTTAGACCATAACTCAGGCAATTTTCAAACCTCAGAAACAGCAAAAATAATTGTACCTGTCTTGGGCTTGAAGGAATCAAGGTAGCAGAGGAGTCATACAAGAAGAACATGGAGAATGTAAACAATGATTCCACCAGGATCTCAGGTTCCCCTTTTCGAAACACAAACAAAGATGATGCAGAAAGAAGCTGGAGCATCGTTTGGAAAGTTTATGTTACATCTGTGTTTACAGTGTCCACGCAAGCATGGCTGAAAAAGAGCACATGTAGTTAGGACCAAGATGCTGCATAATTTTGCATTGTATCCACTAACATGTATTGATGCAAATTTAGAAAACTGATTAAAAATAGAAATTCAGTGTTCCCGAGAGAAGGAAACTGACCACTCAAACTTTTGTCCTAATATCTAATTCAGCTTTTTTCAACTGACCATGAACTATCTTTCTATGGGGTAGAATACAAAGCAAGGACTGTTTTAAAAGAAGCCTGGTGCCATGCCATTATTACCCTGTACTACAACCAGGAGGCAATTAAAAGAAGTAAATTGTACTAAGTTCAGCAGAGTTTATTCTTAGACAAGCGGCCTGATCTTTGGAACATTTTCCCAGATAAAAAGAGTCTTTGATATAAAATTCATCCAATGCCACCCAGGCTGGGTTAGGGATGTTGAAGAACGCCAAGTCCCAGACTGGTATCGGGAGTCTGTAAGGAATAGAATAGATGTAAACAAGGTCAGATTAAATAACTGCATGATGGAACTTACTGTTGGTTGGGGCTTGATCTAGCTTAATCACAGCTCCATTCTTACCTTAAGCTAGAGTCTTACTCCTCCTAAAGGAGGCTTTTTGATTAGTGGGTCTTCCTTTGCTCCGTGATACCTTCTAGAGAAGTAGCTGGAGGTTGTGGCTGAGTGGGAGAGGGGCTTTGCCCAACTTTGGCTGGTGTGCCAATTTAGGGATTGGAAGTTTTGGCAACATGCACTGATCTTCTTGTGCATCGACCACTGTATTGTGCCCTTACACATAAAACTGCCTTTGAAAAATCACTTGGAATTTTTAACCGGACTATAAGGTGACTGTTGATCTGCTGAATAAGGAATAAGGAAGTCAACTTTGATATTGAGAGTCCAGTTCTGTTACCAAAGTGACAAGAGAAAAAAAGTTGAATAAATCCCCAAGCAGACACCTCCCTAAATCACATGAGTATAAAGGGGGTGAGGAATAAAGCAATTACATTTGCAGATTTCTGTTAATGGTAGCTATATAACTACAATAAAAGTACCGGTAGCTTTAATTGTCTTCTAGAGCTGATTTCCTGGTTTGGTCTGTGTAATGGAGCTAACATCAATTAATGGGATATAGCAGATTTAAAAGTGACAAGGCAATGCTGCATTGTGGTCATTAGTAACCAATGTGCTTCTAAGTCCAGTTCAAGGTTCTGGTTTGTTACCTTGAAATCTTTAGATGGCTTGGCACTTGGGTCCCTACAGGACCGTTTTTCCAACTTAGATTTGGCTTTTCCTGTGCAAACTTTTAGGAAAGGACTTCTGGAGGATCCCAGCCAGAAAGCAGGGTGTTCTAAAGGATGGAGACTAATGAAGATGACTTTGGTAGAAATATGCAGGGAACCATATTTTAGGGGCTGAAGCAGCTTTAAATCCAGAGCAATGAGGTAATATTTGAAAGCGGCTCATGCAGAGACCTCTCTGTTTCACTGGATATAAAAAGAAGGAGAAGGCACAGCACAATTGACTGCAAAGTTATTGTACTCAATCTCAATAAAAGCAGTCTGAGCCTCCTATGGAGTGGATTTCCTGATCTGGTCAACGTAATGAATCCTAAATCAATTTAGCAAGTCTGATTATGCTATATTTTCTCCTCCTCATAGTTCAGTGAATTGGGAAAGTGTCTGCTTGAGCTTCTTGACCAGCCCAGAAGCACCAATACATGGCTTGTTCACCATCCTACTACTATAGCAGATGAGAGTTGGTAAGGCAGAAAGGGTGGCAGCTTTGCTTCTAGACATGAACGATCTGTCGTTACCATTAAAAAAAAAAAAAAGCACTTTACAATTCAGGTGGTCCTTGACTGATGACCACAAATTGAGACTGGAATTTCCATTGCTAAGTGAAGCGGTCATAAAACAATATGTCATGTGACCATGCAAACTTAAAATAGAAATCTTGGCATTCCCTATTGCAGTAGTTGACTGAGAATCATGAGTTGTTAAGTGAATACCTAGCCCAGTCCAAGCCATTCTACTCTTATTTCCTCCCAGCCCTGAGCCTCAATAAAGTAAGAAACGCCCTCCAACTTCTCCCACTTGCCTGTCTCTCACCCATCTCTGCCTTTTGGACACTCTGCTCTTTGTCTTGTGAACTATGTGGTCCTGGGACTGCTCGCCCATGCCACGGGAAACCTCAGCCTGAGCTCAACGCTAATTACCTCAGCAAGTGCCAGCTAGCATACATTTGCCCAGCTACTTTCTCTCCCGCTTCCTCACATGGACTCTTTTTTGCCTTTTGTGTCCAGCGGAAGCTGAGGCACCTTGCTGCCTATACTGTCTCCTTTTCAGACCTGGTTTCTGTGGGGAACATTTCCTACATGTGGCTCCCTGAGCCTTTTGAAAGCTGTGCTTTTCTTCAGAAAGGCTGTGCCGTCTTTGGAACACGGCACTGTCTTTCCAAAGGCTTCCCGAAGATAGGGTACCTTGGTTCAAGCATTGTTGTCCCTTGGTGCACTCTTTCACCCGGTTGAAGGTTGCAAACAGACTTTTAGTGATACATAGATGAAGACTTGCTAGAGGAATCCTTCTTCTCAAGACAGTGTAATTAAGATGGCTGTATTAATTCTGTAGCAGTTAGTGAAAACCAATAAACTGCAAAAAAAAAAAAAAAGAGAAAGAGAGAGAGAGGTTGCATGCTGCTGGAAAGAAACCTTCAAAATATTGTCTGTCTCTTTCTCTCTTAGATACTTTTAAAGCCAGTATATGTATTTTTCCAAATCCTATTTTTGTTGCTTTGAGATGGGGGATTTTTAGTGGGAGGTGTCATGGTGAAATGAACATATTTTCATTCTATTTCTGTCTGCAGGGAGAAACATTTGTTTGGGTTAATGGTGCATCAGCTCATTCCCAGAGTGTTGCCAAGGCCAAATATGACTTTTTATTTGGTGGATCAGAAAATGAAACTACTTCAGAATCTGGTAAGCACCAGCGTTTCTACTCTGAAGCCACTTCCATCTTCTTACTCTTTATACACATTGTATTATTTAAACTTAGAGCTCATTCTGATTCTGAATTTATGAGGTAAAGGTGCAGAATTCCCAACCCGGGTGCCTTCCAGATGTGTGGATTTCAATTTCCAGAATTCCAGGCACTGATAATGCAGTCGGATACTCTGGTTGCTGAAGTCTGTGCATCTGGACAGCAACCAGGTGCATTATGAATTCTGCATAAATGGAGAATAACATTATTGATGTATTTCTTTGAGAAAAAGTAAGAATTGGCAAAAGAAACTTCAATCCTTTAAACTATGTATATGATTGCCATCTTTCATCTGTACTACAGATGGTCCTCAACTTATGACTACGGTGAAGCCCAGAACTTTGGCTGCAAATTGTTGCAGCTGTAAATTGAGTCACCTTATGACCCGACTTGATTTTATGACTCTTTTTTGTTTACAATGGTAGTTAAACAAGCTTCTGTGGTCATTGAGAGAATCGTATAGTTTTTAAATAAATCGCATGGTCTAAAGTCCCAATGCAGCTTATCCAGTGGGTGTTTTGTGCTGGAAAGTGGCAAAAAAACATTGCAAAAAACCCCACGATCGTCTGGATGCTGGATGCTACAACTGGTTGTAAATGTGAACCAGTGGCCAAGCGCCCAAAATGTGATTATGCGACTGTATAAGGGTATTGCGATGATTGTAATGTTGAGGATGAGTTGTAATTAACTTTATATGTGTGTATCATAACTTGAAGCAGTTGTTAAGTAATTGACCATAAATTGAGGATTACCTGTAATGTAGATTTGGATTCAGCGGGGACCCTTGTTAGAGGTATACTCCTTAGCTAACATAAGCAAAGCACTGAAAGAGTTGACTTGTTAGGTTACAGAATTTTCTATTAAAACATTATGTTCATTTTATTCTCATAGTATAATTGTCTAGGGTGCAAAATTTGGGATTATTCATCCACCTCTTTCTTTCTCATTCCTCCTCCTCCTCCTCTTCCTCCTCCTCCTCCTCCTGCCCCCCTCCCCCCCCTCTCTCTATATATAGATAGATATTCTTAAGTTTTCATGGGTACTTACATGTATGGTATTCAGCTTTGTTCGGGTATTTTCCCACGTCATTGTAGTTGTGCTTTTAAAGTTGTAGCAACATTTTGGCAGAATCTCATCTGCCATCATCAGGCTTCATCATCAGGCTTCAAATATATATATTTGTTTTCGTAGATTTTCACGGGTACAAGTATGTAGGTCTAGGTGTGTTCGGGTCTTTTCCCATGTAAGATTAAGAGTATCTTGGCGACATTTTGGTGAGGTCCCACTCCCCATCCTAAGGCTGGTGCTTTCGGCTTCATGCCAGTGCAAGCACCCAGATGGACACCCATCTAAAATACATGACTCTTGTCTGGCTATCAACAGTTAAAAACTACATCATCTCATCATATGCACACATACACAAAATAAATATGGATGGAATCAGCAACTGAGTTAAACTAGTTAATGTAACCACTGTGCTATCAATGAATGTTAACAGACATTCAATCAATCAATCAATCAGTTTGCGGGACTGAACTGGGCTTGCAGACCTAAGGCATGTAGAAATTGCCAATAATGATGTCCAACCTTAATAACTTTAATAAAGGGTCCACTTGTTAAATAAAAACGAAGAACTGTAAATAAAATACATCAAAGAAAACTGCAAGGAAGGAAGGAAGGATGAGAGGTAAGTCCATTTACCTGAAGTAGTTTTTATTTCATTGAAAACATGAAAATAGGCCGTCTGAAACTTTGGAATTAGCTGACCTGTTAATTTCCTAGTATAGTAATAGCAATAATCTAGTGTTTGTCAACCTTGGGAACTTTTAGATGTGTGGATTTGAATTCCTAGAATTCCCTAGTCAGCATAGCTGGAAGTAGATCCATACATCTTTAAGTTCCCAAAGCTGAGGAACATAGGTCTACTGTATCAATATTTATTTGGACACTGACCTTCACAATGGATTTTCAGGATTTCTGGATTGCAAGGCATAGTTTTCTTTTTGATTTCTCTCATAATACAGATCTTAAAAGAGAATTGGGGAAAGCTGGAATGAGCAGTCATTATTCTATCATTCTTTTTCAGTTAGCTAAAGAACTTCTGCTTTGCTTCCAGCCTTAAAACTAGGTACAGTAATCCTCAATTTGCAAGTGTAATTGAGCTTAGAATTGTGATCATAAGTTGTTATTGTTAAGTGAGTCACCCATATGAACGTACCTGATTTTACGACACTTTGCAGTAATTATTAAGTACATGAAGCAACCATTAAGTGAACAATGCAGTTATTAAATGAATTCAATATATCCAATAATGCTCTTTTTGTTGGAAACTGGAAATAAACATCAGAAAATTCAGAAAATCGTGGTCACAGGACATTGCAAACATCTATAAAAGTGGGCTGGTTACCAAGGGCCCAAAATACAATGACAGGACTATGGGAGGAAGGCACGGCCACTGTAACTTTGAAATCAGGTCATCAGCCCCCTTTTGGGGAGTGTATTGTCCTAACTTCAAAGAGTTGCTAAGTGACTGGCTGTAAATCAAGGATTAACTGTAGATGATTGAGAGATGGTTGATGAATATTTACTGCTGGTTGAAAAGTTCTGGGAATGGATATCTAGAGGATCACTGCAGTAACAACTGTTGTGGTCTTTTGTTCTGTCTATAGCTGCCTTCTGCAACCTATGGGGTAATTCTCGAAATAATTACGACTGTTAGTTAGCTTCTGTGTTTGAGCATTGGCAAAGTTTGTCAGTCTTGTGGAATGAACTTTCTAATACCACCTCCCACAGGCACACAGAGCCACTCATTCTTTTAAAAAAAAACTAAAGAAAGAAGTTTAGCTCATGAAAACTAAAAGAGCATTTATTCTAAACGAATGGAGAAGAAAGACGCCATTGATTCTTTGGGGAGATTGTAAAAACATTGATTTTTCAAGTGAAAAAAAAAAAAACTCTGAAGTGCCTCATACGAAATATTTGCCTACTTTCAGAGCTTGGCTGGTGCCAGGCAGAATTCTTAATGTGATATTTGTTTATGGAACGCTTTTGTCTGAAATGATTCTACTAACTCAACCTCTCCTTCTGAAACCATAGCACTCTAAATGTGGTGCTGAGGATACAAATCAGTGTAGATGGGAAGGGAAAGACAGCTGTGATTAGACAACTTAATAGTAGGGATTTTAAAGCAGCTAAGTAAAGTAGTTGGTCAGTCATTTGTCTTTTAATTGTTTACTTAAGCAAATATGCACAGTCCCAACAACTGGACATTTCTTGGAGACATAGAAGGAGATGCAAGAAAACTGAAATTTAATAAACCAACTTTGTCTCAGTGAAGAAAATCTTACAAATTGGCCTACTTGAAGTTTTTTTTAGCAGCAGCAAGCTATCACTAACCAAAATAGCACCAGTGATAAAAAATAGCTTCATTGATCACCTGATCAGTATTTTTCTTTAAGGATTTTTCTTCTGCCAAAATGTCATTGACTTATCAGAGATAGCTTCATGTTCATCAAAACACTACTTGTTTTGATTTTTTCACTTCTTTTCATTTGGGAATTGCACAAATGAAGAAATTCATTTCATTTCTTCTCTTGAAACTTTTATCTTTTCTAAATGTAATTCCTTTTGAGTTAGATCTGACTTCCTCAGTTTGCAAACATACTTGCTTGACATACATTTAAATGTAATGATATCTTAGATAGTATTGCTTGGCTGTGATACCTAAGCAGATTATTCACAGGTCCTCAGCATTGCATGAAACAATCAAGCAAGCCATTTACTGTGAGAAAATATATGGTGACATCACATTATGGTTGTCTGACAGACGATTGGATAAAATGGACTAAATTTTTGAGCAATTGCATCTAGCATTCTAAGGATCTCATATTGTTGAAGACAGTGAATTACGTCATGTGTAATAATAATATACATATATAATTGAATTTTTAAAAACAAGATAAAAATACAAACTAGACAGTGAATTAGTTCTCATGTGTGTAAAGGTACCACTTTCATGTGGCACGGTTAAATATGTGTGCCTTAACTAGGTAGTTATCCAATCCTTTATGCAGACTATTACACTGTCCAGAAAACCGTTGAAAAGTAAATATGTATTTATTAACTTTTAAAGGCTGTGCAACTCCCAAGTGATGCTGAGTGGCTTATATAATTAAAAGTAAGAAAACAAATATAGTAAAAAAGAAAATTTACCCATATGACTGGAGCAAACATGTATTCACCAAAGGTTCAACAACTGAATTTGGAGTACAACCATGGTTTAAATACTTTTTCTTACATGAACTCTTGTAAGATGAGAGCCATATGTATTTCTGGGGGGGATCTAGTCCAGAGGGCAGAGACTGCAACAGAGAAGGTACATTTCCAGGGCCCTTGACAGGTGACAGTATTTAATAGACAGGACCTGGCTTGGCTGTCCACTACTGATCTCATTGGGTGTGCAGAAACCACTGGTCTCTCAGATAACCAAGTCCTATGACGTGAAGGATGTTATAGGTGATGATCAGCCCCTTGAATTGCACATGGAAGCAAACTGGCAACCAGCTCAGCTGCCTGCATTTCCATTATCATGGGAACCAGCAGTCAGCAAATGCAGTGATACCAGTTGAAATACCATAAAGACAACCTCAAAGTTATATTAATTAAAATAAGTAATTACATTATAATTCCATTAATTATTTTAATGGACCAGCTCTTATTGTTGTTAAAGAGACCTGTGAATGATGTGTGTGTGTATGCCAGGCACAATTCATTACATAAAGACAGATACTGGAGCCTAAAACAGGGTTTCTCAGTCGTGGCAACTTTAAAATGTGTGGATTCCCAGAATGCTGTCTGGGGAATTCTAGGAGTTGAAGTCCACACATCTTAACGTTGCTAATGTTGAGAAACACTGGTCTAAAGTATACAAAAAAATTCA